CTTTGCTCCTCATCTCCTGGACCTCCTTGGATTTTGGAGGTTGGTTGACCTACATCATTCAGAGTCCAGGAGGCAGATCGTCACACACGATTCCCTTGGGGGAATCTTTCCAGGATCCACCTCCCAAGACCGCCTAGTCCTCCTCTTGCTGGTTCTCAGAGGCAGGATCCTTGTTTTTGATGCACAGTCCCACTCTTGCTCTTGGCCCCCCCCCACTCCATGGCCCACCCCCACTCACCTCCACTTGCTCTCAGCATCAAGCCATGAGCCTGTGGCCAGCCGCCCCTGCTGCCATCCTGCCTGCTTGCCTGGAGGGGGCCGACCTTCCTAAAGAGACCAGGGGCTCTTACAGCCTCTGTCAAACTTTCGTTTCCCCCGACAGAAGGTTGACCACACAGATCCCAGGTTTCTCTTAACCTCTCCTTCTCTCTCTCTTTAACCTATTGATGTTATTCCGGATGAAGATGCTGGTTGGGCACTTTTAATAAAGAGAGCCCTATGTAAGTGGGACCCTCAAAGCCAACCTGTTATCACAGACCCTCCCACTGAAAAAAAGATATTTTATCCCTTTACATACAGTAAACAAGAGAAGAGCCTAAGAGGGGGAAACTTGTGTAAGTTACCTCTACCCTTTATTCTTTTTGCAGAGTGATTTTTCATGTTAGTCTCCCAGCAGATATTTTTGGACTTGAACTGCTTCATGACTCTTTTTTTTCTGCTCCTGCAATGCAGCATCCAACTGTGTCCCCACAAATCCCCAAGGAAGTTGGGTAGAGAGATACAGATACCAGATCTTCAAGTTATTTTTTTTTTCTCCCTTGGGGTCCATCTGGCCCCTGTTTTATTCAAGCTGGATTTTAGGGAGCTGCATCCAATCAGCCAGAGTCTTAGGCTCAGCAACAGCCTAGGGTCCACTGTGACCTCCTGAACGCTTTCTTATTCATGGCTGGTTTGTCAGGAYTCATGTTGGATTTGGGCATTCCCCAGCTTTCCTTCACTGGCTAGCTGCCAACTCATTCCTGGTCAGTGTCCCAAACTGCCAAAGTCTCTTTGGATTCGAGGCCTATATGTTGAGGCACGAGCCTCGTTTCTCAATTTGGGTGTTTTGCCAAGGTACAGAGCTCGCCTTCTATTCCTGCATCCCAGTCACTCAAGGAGTCAGGGCGGGTGTTTATCTGCCTTTCGAGCCTCCTGAGCTCCTGAGGGGAAAACTCTGGGTTCCTCTCCTCAAGTGTTTAGTGCGTAGTTCTCCTTTTCCCACTAAATTGTTTCCGTATGGAACCACCAGTCTGGGAGATGATTTCACCTCTTGTCATCTTTCCTGTGTCTCCCTTGAAGTGGGTAAGTTCCCCCTCACTGCTATTGGTTTCCTGCCCCCCACACCCCGCCTGTATCTGGATCCCTAAATCACATCAAATTGTTTGACTTTTCAAATCACCAAAGCCACCTTTCAGCTTCAGATCACAGCCAGCTCTGGGCAGTGAATGAGGATCCCATCAGCCCCTCCACCTCGTCCCCCTCTGCCAGAGACAGCTGGGTGACTTCTCGCTGTGGCGCAGGTCGGGGCTGTGGTGTCTCCTAGGAATGGCATGCGGTGAGGGCCTGTGGTTAGAGCTGAGCGCTGAGGGGCTTCCCTGCAGGGTTGGGAAAGACTGAGAGGTTTTGGCTTCAAAGGAAAGTGTGGTACCTGGTCCTCGGGGCCAGCCTGGTACGGGGGATGGGTTCACAAGAGCAGGAATGGCAAGAATTTATGGGGTCACTACTCCCAGGGGGTGCTACCCCTCTGGGGGGGGGTTCCCCCCCGGTAGCAGAAAATTCATTATGTCTTGGGAGCCTTTGTGAGTGTCTCATTTATACCATCTGTACGAAAATAAACAGCAGCTCCAAACAGAGCCTGTCGCTCCTGGAACAGAGAGGGGTCTGGCTTCCATCTCGCAGGGGGGCCGAGGCGGGGAAACAGGGACGACTCTGCAGTGTTTCTCTCGGGGTCTACTGTGGGAGTGAATAACCTGGAGGTGAAATCGTGGCCTGATGATGAGCTTGGAAGCTTCCAGAACCATCCCCACCCCACTCTCTGGAGTGTGCTCTGCTATGAATCTGGTATCGTTCGTTTGCCGTTTCATTCATTCATTGATCCATTTGTTCCTTCAAATACTTCTTCCTCCCCCTTGCTGGGCCAGAAAGGAGGCCAGGCTCTGGGGTCACCCAAGCAACAACCAGTCCTGATGGCTGCCTGCCCCCCCCCCCAAGTAATCCCTCTGCCTGGCAGGTGGTGGCATGGCTGGGCCCCAGCAAGGTCTTGTCACCTAGGGGCGGGTCCTGGCCCTGGCCCTTTTCCTAGCCAAGCTTCAAGGGTGGAGGGGTGGCTCTCTCACTGCCCTAAGCCCACCCCAGGGACAAGGGGGGATCAGAAAGCATTGAACATCCCTGAGTGGGAAGCCCCAGGGGCTGTTTCCCTCTGGGCTCCCACTCGGGCTGCTGTGGGGTTATTAAGGGAACTTCCCAAACCTGGATCTGGTAGCAGGTAGAGTAGAGGGTCCTCTAGGCAAGAGAATGACACCCCCCCCCCCATTCAGGGCTTCTGTGTGAAAGTCCATCCGTTGGAACGTACTTCCTTCAGCTGAAGGCATCCCACAGCTCGAACCCCACGAGGGGAAAAAAAGGGCAGGGTCCCAAAGTCCAGGGACCTCAAGTCCAGCCTTGGTTCTGCCCTTCTCTGGCTGTGTGACCTTGGGCAAGTCATTCAACTTGAGCTTCAGCTTCCTCATGTGCAAAATGAGGATGTGGTTTAGATGAGCACAGGGCCTCCACCAGCTCTTGAGACTGCCACTCAGTGTGAATGAGTCTCAGGTCCTTTTCTGAGGTGACCCAGGGGACACTAGGTGCTGAGGAGGGACAGAAAGAATGTGGGGTGGAAAGGAAGGGCCAAGGGGCAGGTGTGTGACATAGAGATGGCGGAGCACAAGAAAGAGTCAGGGCACCAAATACCAGTGTGAGTGCAAGGCCAGAAACCGTGTGCAGAGGGTTGAGTGGCAGGCTGTGTGTGTGCAAGGATGCGGTGGCAGTTCCACTGTCCTGTCTTGTCTTTTCTCTTTGTAGTTCTGGGGATTGAGCCCAGGGGCACTCTACCACTGAGCTCTATCCTCAGCTCTTTTTATTTTATTTTGAAACAGGATTTTTCTAAGGCTGGCCTTAACTTTGTGATTCTCCTGCCTCAGTCTCTCCAGCGGCTGGGATTGCAGGCATGCGCCACCACACCCGGGGCTCACGTGGACCTTTCTTTAAACAAAGTGATGTCCCTTGAAGTCTTTGTGGTTTGAAGTTGCAAATCACTCACATGCTTTTCCCTTCAGAGCGTAGAACCTATTAAAAAAAAAAAAAAAGCCCCGGTGCCTTGGCTCATGCCTGTAATCCCAGTGGCTCAGGATTGGTGGGCAGCAAGGTGCTGAGCAACTCAGTGAGACCCTGTCTCTAAATAAAATATAAAATGGTGGAGTGCCCTTGAGTTCAATTCCTGGTACAAAGAGAGAGAGAGAGAGAGAGAGAGAGAGAGAGACAGACAGGACTTGGATGGGGACCAGATTTCTCCCTTGAGAATGACATGAGATGGGCAGTGTTGTTTGCACATAGCCAGGACAGTCTCCCTGATAATGCCCCTCTCTCAGGTTCTCCATCTGAGAACCTGAACGGGGGCAGATGGTGGTGGGTCACCCTCCAGGGCCACTTGTGTGTGAGTGAGACAGAACCCAACACAGCGTGACCCGGGGGGCACCATGGCTCCCCTGTCTTGCCAAATGCATCCTTCTCCATGAAAGACCAGAGGTGAGGATGGACAGACAGGCAGGAGATTTCTCCTGGGGATTTCAGTGACAGTGGAGGTTTTGATTTTATGGCCCCGTGCAGACAGGTGGGAAAAGAGAGAAATGAGTTCCTTTTCGGGACTGGATGCCCCTTACAAGGCTGCTCTGAAGTGTGGGCATCTGACCTCCACGTTGGCAGTGCCTGGCAGCTTGCGGCAGCTTTCAGGATCCGATGGATGGGTGGAGGCAGGGGTGGGAATGTGCTCAGGGGCTGGACCCTGGCTTTATTGGCAGATGAGCTGACTTCAATGCTACCTGTGCCTCCAAATGCCTCTCCCTTACCCCTGCGCTTCCCCAGTATAAAGAAGGAAGAATCAGGACCCTGGTTTGACCTGTCTCATCTATGTCCTTCCTTCATGCCTGCCGCTGTCTTCCCTCCTAAACCTCTTGAGTCCAGTGGGGGGTCTGGGCGGTGTGTTGGTTCCAGGAATGGAGAGACCTTGGAGGGGCTTTCGGGTACTGGGTTCCCCTGGGAGAGCACATGCTGACCCACTCCGTGTCCTCTGCCTCGGATCTTCCCCACAGACATCAGACACGCTCACCTCTAACTTGGATCTGCCTCATTTCAGATTCAGGGTGTCTTAATAAGTATGCAGAGGAGGCTGTGTGATGTGAGGGGAGGCACGATGCCAGGCCAAAAATAGCTCCCTCTTGAACAGGTGCGAAGGCGCTTGAGATTCCACCGTGAACATAGTCTCTTCCAAGGCGTCCCCTGCCATGTAAATCCCAGCCCCGCCCGTTGGCACCGTGTGCAAACCTGAGCAAGTTTTCTCTTGGAGTTTCGCCTTCTCCCTCCATACAAGGGGCTTGGCCCAGCCTACCAAGGCAGATGGAGAAATTGGGACCTGGCATGGAGCGCATGCGGAATAGATGTTACCGGTAATTGCGTTAAGCGTCGCCTTAAAAACCAAACAAGAGGGCAAACACTCCTGGCAGTGCCAGGCATGGTGACCTCAGTGTGGGTTAATTGACTGAGTTTTCCTTGATAATAGAAAGGACTGGTGGGCAGGAAGGTGCCTGAAGGGAAGGGATGGCGGAGAACACGGATGGGAGAAAGGACCGGTTCTGGCCAGGTGTGGGACTGCTGCTCAACCTGACTGCCCTGTCCTGCTTCTTCTGCCCACTCCAGGCCCGCCTGCCGCTCCTCCTGCTATGATGCCTGGGCAGATCCCCGACCCTTCTGTGACCGCAGGCTCTCTGCCAGGGCTCGGCCCCCTCACGGGACTCCCCAGCTCGGCTTTGACTGCGGAGGAGCTGAAGTACGCCGACATCCGCAACATCGGGGCCATGATCGCGCCCTTGCACTTCCTGGAGGTGAAACTGGGCAAGAGGCCCCAACCGGTAAAAAGTGAGGTGAGCAAGCCTCATTAACCCCCAGGTACAGMTCAAGCGCCACAGACTTGGCTTCGCGTCCTGGGTCTGGCCCCTATCGCGCAGGGGAACCTTGGCCTTGCTGTTTGGAGTGTGAGGACCGGTAGCATCTGTGCTGCCCCGGGCTTGTTAGATGGGGAATCCTGGCCTCACTGCAGACCTGCTGAGTCAGAGTCTGCATTTTAACAAGCTCCCCCTGGGATTCATGGACACATTAAAGTTTGAGAGGCACCGGGCTAGGACGGGAGGTTTAATCTGTCTCTGCTTCTTCCAGGGGCTAGAGAAGCCGTGATGATAATGATAATGAATAATATCTAGGCAATCTCTCTGGGGGGTTGGGACGACCAGCAGAGATGATGGAAATGTGCACATGTTTTAAAAGCTATACAAGGGGACAGTGATATTGAGCTGGCTTTAAAAGTTATCATTTGCAACATCATTGCCTCCACCCTTTTGGGCCCTAGGGCGCCAGCCTTCTTGAAAGAAGGCTGATGTGGTCTCCCTCTGCAAGCAGCTGCCAGAGCCTGGCATGGCCTCAGTCCTAAGCATCSTCTGCCTGAGGTGGAGTTTGCAAAGGACTCAGCCCCTCCCCCCAAGGTCTCCTGCACCTGCAGCTTTCACTAGCTTTACTTGCAGAAGAGCAGCTTATCCCTGGGGACTGGTGAGAAGCAGAAGTCCCCAACATGACTGAGTATCAGTGCAATGCATGCCCTGGCCACTTATYTATGGCTGGGGATTTGTCCAAAGGCCCGCGGCCTGGCAAGCACCCCAACAGCCCATTTCTTCAGAGGCCTGAAAGAGTAGTTACCATCGGGTCAGCCCAGTGGGGAGAGGTGGAGAGGGGCTGGGGGCAGGCTGTGGGGTGGAGCTGAGCCTCCCAGCAGAGCTCTGCCTGGAGGGAGAGTTCACAGGTGAGGGTGAGCCTGGAAGGAGGATCCAGGCTCCAGGGAGAGACTGGGCATAGGTCAGGCTGCATTAGTTTGCTGGTTAGGGTTCAACGGTCTTTCCTCATGAATACCTAAAAAATTGCAAGGAAGGGCTTTAGGGGGATTGGCCCCCTGGTGGCAGCCTGGCCCTTGAGGGCTGGATCTGGCTCTCAGAGGTGTTTTGTTTGGCCCGTGTTACATTTTCAAAGCGCCTTGAACCAACATTTCACTTAAAATTTCAATTAAAAAAAATAGGAAGATCTGGCCCCACATCGCCCTATGGGGCATGGCAATGGCTAAATGGCATGGAGAGCGAAGGCCACCTCATTTTTCCTCTCTCTAGTTGTCCCCCCCCCCCAACCCCACCCCACGACCTTGGTCTTGCTCACACGGTTGGCTTTGCGTTTGTTGCTACCGGCTGCTTTCCTTGACCTCCACTGCCTGGTCCACACTGTGGCCCTCTATGCTCCAGACACCTGGACTAGTCCATCCTGGGTGCCTACTAAGGACTGTGGCTTGCAGAGATTGCAGACGTGATGTCTCCTTCTGGAGGGACTTGGTCAGCCCTCAGGTCACTTCCTGGCTTCTTTGTGGTCTGTTTTCCTTAAGGAGGACCCTTTTCTTTCCGCCCTCTGCTAGTCCTGCTCAAGTCCTAACTTGAAAGCAGCTCTTTCTGGGTCATTCCTCATTATAATTGCTGTCGAGAGCCATAGCTGAGCATTGTCACTGGGGCTCTKCGGCCACCAGTGGGGTTGATGAGGCCTTGGGCAGGGGCTGAGTCTCCACCTCTCTCCTTCCCAAAGGCTCTGGAGGACCTTCCTTTTTTTGGAAAAGGTCTTTATTTGGGTTGGGTATTTTTACATTTCACAGCCACCCCCAAGCTGGTGGCATAGGCCCTGTACCTGATAGTGACGCGCTGTCCTCCCAGGCACCCACAGACGTGTACCTTCCAGGCTGTGAAAATAACAAGCCGTTTTTAGGGCATATTTGCATGTCCTCTCACTGGCTCCTTCGCTGTCAGACTGCAGCGCGGGGGCGAGGCGGCAGATGGAGCCCCRAGACTCCACCTCCCAGGGAATCCACCTCCAGGGCCTCCCAGGTCAGACCCCAGGGGTGGGGCAGCTCATTCTYGGAGCTGCTAAAACCCAAAGGGGATGGGAGAGAAATTTGCAGCTGATGAAGCTTCCTTCCAAAGATCGATTTTACATGTGGCAAACGGCCCTTAGTGGATTTTCACATTGGCGTTTTAGACTAGTCAAAGTTTCTCCAATAATAAAGAGGTACTAGCTCACGTCAACTGATCATTTAGTACGTCCCAGGTCCTGTGCTAAGACTTAACAGGCAGGATCTCATTTATTCCTCACCCAATCCGGGTGACCAGGTTATCTCTGTATTAGAGAGAAGGAATTTGAGGTCTAGGGAGGAGGTTCCGTGTCACGCTGCTGGGCAGTGGCAGTGCTGGGGCGATGTTGYTGTCACCACAGCAGTATGTCCCTGTCCCTGAGCCAAGCACCAGGCATGTACTAAGCACTCCGTGAAGGACCTCATTCATCTCACACACTGACCCCGTGCTGTTGTAGTGTTCACATCACAGATGAGGCTGACAAGGCCAAGAGAGGCCCAAGGTCACTTGCCGGGAAGTGAACCCAGCAGTCTGACTTTAGACCCAAGCTTTAACCTTTTGCTATGGCCTCCTATGTCCCCTGAGTCCTTTCCAGGCTTCTAATCAGAGATCTCTCTGGCTGAGGAGGCCAGATGAACCTGGCCCCAGAACACTTGATCATTTTGATGGCAGGGCCGAGTTGGTACTGAGCCCTGCCGTTCTGAAGCCTTGTGGTCTCTCAGACCCCAAGGGAGCTCAGGCCAGGCCACGCGCAGGCAGTGGTGACACAGCAGGCTCTTGAGTTATCTGCCTCACAGAGGCCATCTCCTGGGCCACGTCCAAGTGCATGAAGGAGTTCAGGAAAAGAAAATTGGAAGAATTAARTTAAGCAGCAGGTTTGTGAACTATACAGTGCTTTATGCTGATTATTTTCTGTGAAATATAATATTAAACTGTTTTGGATCACCTGCTTGCCTGTGGTCCATCTGCTAAGCAYCTAGTGTGTGCCAGGCCTTGGAACCTGAACCAGGAGCAAAGGAGACAGAATCCCCCTCCTGGAGCTTGGTGTGGTAGGACGGGCAGCCCCCAAGGAGCAGATTACCCAGCAGGAGAGAAGACCAGGCAGTGGTCAGTCCTGCGAAGAAAAGTTCAATCCCCGTCAACAGAGGCAAGACACCTGCTCCGATGGTGGGTTGGCCAGGGACTCTGGGGACACTGCGTCCTTGACTCTGGGACTTTTGAAGCCGTTGCTCCTTTATGACCTCTCTCTTCTTTCTTTTCCAATATTTCTTTTCAAGACACCTTTGCTCTCTGGCTGTTTCTAGACCTTTCCTTCCGTCCCTGTTTGTTCTATAGCCCCTGAAAGCTGGACCTGGAGATCCAGGTCATCTGTTGCGGTGGGCTGCTATGGCCACCCTTGCACACTTAGCCACACTCTTGCACACTTAGCCACAGACTCACCTGGTGGACAGGCTCCCTCTCCCCAGGCCACTCTGCAGTGCCCTGGGGGAGGCTTAGGGTTTCAAAGGATGYTGGTCCAGATGACCTTTCAGGAAAGAAGTTGTCAAGTGTTATTCCAAGGTCTGTCATCAGCCTGCAGGTGAGTCTTTTGTGGTCCTCACAGCATCCAGTCCTTCTGTCCTTTCTTTCCTTCCTTCCTTCTATTTCTGAATGAGTTGCCATATTTGAAAGCTAGGAAGTGTGGACTTTCTGGTTTCTTTTTTAAAAAGCCAGGATATCTGGCCACTCGAGGCTGGTACCCTCACAGGCAGTGAGAAGCAGGAGCTGAGGAGCACCTGGCTGCAGAGCTACTAGGTCTTTACTTTGCCACAGACCCTACCACTCCCTGTTACTTTGCACCTGGCCCACTTCACACTGCCTGGGTTTGAGTCTYTTCTGGGTTTAGGTCCCGAGGGCGGGGACTATATCTTACATTCCATTTCATTTCTACCAGACTGTTCAGTCCCTCACAAGGATCGTGTATTAATACCTGCTYACTGGTCTGGGCATTATTAGCTGTGTCTCTGAAATTTTTCTCTTCCTCCATTGCTGTGTGTCCCAGTTCTTACCTTGTTCTTGTTCTGTGGTTTTTCCATTTCTGGATTTAAATGACTGTAGGTAGAAGAAAAAGGGGGAAAAAAGGAGGCAGGGGAGAACACAAATAAAATCAAATCAGCCGTTCCCAAACTYGGCTGATCATCCACACAGCTTGGATGATTTCCAGGTCCTACCTCAGGCCACTGGAATCAGAATCTCTGAGGGTAGAGTTTAGGGAATCTCGTTACTAGTAGGCGCAGAGATTACTTAGATCCTTTTGGAACATGACTCTAAGCCATTTATACCTCTCCTCCAGCCCTCCAATCCTTCTCAGTTGCCTTCTGTGGGTTTAACCTGGAGGAATCCACGTGTGCACACCATCCCAGACTGCCCTTTCCATTTCTCCTCATCTTTAGAGCAGGAGAGGAAATGTAGCTATCGGTGGATTTCACATTGGTGAATTCCCACCTTCTTGAGAGCCCTGTGGATCATTTCACACCTTTGTGTGAAAGGTGAATTGGAATCTGTGGGCCATGGGGGCCCTCAGAAAGCAGTTCACTCTCAGACACAGGTGATGTCCTCAGAGTATGTTCCTAAAAGTGACTTAAGATAGTCATCCATGTTTTTAGCCTGAGCATAAAATGTTGCCCCAAACCAGCTGGCGTGCGGGGTAAACATTGGCCTAAGCTTGCTTGTGTTTTTAGTGACTGGAAACGTAAAGGCAGCCCACTGGCATTTTTTAGCAAGCCTTGCATAATTGGTTTTTAATTTGTGGCTCTTTGGAACGGCATTGGCCTTCTTCCTCTGGCTCAGATGCTTTTTTTTTTTTTTTTTTTGGCAGAGAGATCTAATCTGTCCTTTCTTTGAAATCCTGAGTTTCCACTTTAGTTCCTTCACTTGGTTGGCACGTTTTAGAA